GCTAGCCTGAGTTCCATCTCTGCCTTGGCCTTCCTAATAGCCCTCTTACACTCCTGGGCCAAGGAGGAGTATTCCTCCTTGGTGATAGCCCCTCCCTTCCATTGGTTGTATGCCACCCTTTTGGTCCTCAGACACTCCTGAATGCCCTTGCTGAGCTATGGGGGTTTCTGAGCACTCTTACCCCCCTTGATTCTCTCAGGGGCTGTTACCCTTTGGGCCTGGAGGATTGCCCCCATAAGGTATGACCATTCCTTGTGGACTCCCATCTCCTTTACCTTCTGAGCCCTCAGTGCCTCCCCCACTAGTCTCCTAAGCTCATTGAAGTTGGCCCTTCTGAAGTCAAGGGCTTTAGCCTTGGTGTAAGCCCTTGACGCCCTGCGTTGGATAGTGAAATCCATCAGCTGATGATTGCTATTGTCCAGGTGGTCAAGGACCTAATGTCCCCTCACCAGGTCCAGCAAGGCGTTACCCCTAGTGGGGCTGTGCACTTCCTGGATAAGGTGAAGGTCCTGTAATACAGCCAGGAACCTACGCGAGTGGTCAGACCTGGATGTCTGCTCCTCCCAGCAAATGTCTGGGTAGTTTAGGTCACCCATGACCATGACATCCCTTGACCTAACCACCTCCATAAGCTGACCGGTGAAGTCCCGGTCCAGCTCTTCTCCCTGGTTGGGTGGTCTGTAGTAGACACCCCCCATAAGGTCCCTTTCACCACGCCCCCCTTGTAGTTTGACCCATAGTGTCTCTGCCGAACCTTCTTCTAACCCGAAGCTAATCCTTGATGTGAGTTGCTCTTTGGCATAGAGTGCGACCCGCCCGCCTTTCCTCTCTGTCCTATCCCTTCTGTATAGGGTGTACCCCTAATGCCCACCGCCCTGTCATAGGTAGGGTTCCACCAGGTTTCTGTGAGCCCTACTAAGTCTGGATTCTTACTCGCAATCAGTAGGCACAGTTCCTCCTGCTTGCTCCCCATACTACGAGCATTGGTATGGAGGCACTTGAGGCCTCCTGAGGGTGCACGCACCTCCCCCCTACTCCCAGGACTGTTGTGGCCCCCTACTCCCAGGACGTTGTTGTTTACCTGGGTGTCCCTTTCTCTTGTCACCCTGCATGCTGGTGAAGCATCCTCTCCACTC